AGATCCCTTTCATCTGTTAGTCCTTGAGATGAAGCTTCACAACTTTACGTATGTCCGTATCATCTTTCAACCCATTTTGCTGGCATACCTAACAGAAGAAAGCAATGTGTCTTTTAAGCAGAATAATATTTTTAAAAGTGCCAGAGCAGAACAAAAATGAAGCTGCTCAGTTCTTGCTTGGCTGTTTTGAGTTCAAAAGCATCTACACGGCCCTGCATATGATGATGTATCTTCTACCGTACAATAACATTCCCACAGACAAAACGTGGCAATGACCGTCGCTTCTCTATCGTTATTTCCAGGGGTTCTACAGATCTTATTTCCACCAGCCTTAAAATTTACAGCTCGAACCAGCCATGCCAAGTACAGGAAGGTGTATCATCCTCATTCCCTACCACACACCTAAACATCCCTACCACACACTAAGACATACACATAACGCACACACTCAGTTAAGCTGAAAAATGGAATCATCCTTGATAATGGTCGAAAGCGCTCGGAAATATAAAACATTTGGACAGTTATTACGCACCCTTTGTCCAGAAAAGAAAGCTCTTGTTCGAACACAAGAAAAATTAATTAAAAGCTTAACCGTAGTACCTTGTCTGTCTGCGCCTAAATATACAACTATATATATATATATATATATATATATATATATATATATATATATATATATATATATATATATATATATATATATATATAGACTCTCCTGTCGTTTACGACGTATGAGTATCTTTCAGTTCAGGTTCTGTTTATGTTTCGTAGGAGACAACAATCTATGCAATGGATTTTGCAAAACAAATCCACACGAGGGCCATATACTGAATGGTTGACCGTCACATGGGCTGATCTATTAGAACTAGATTAAGTGTTAATTCTTAATTCTCTCAGATTATTCAGTTGATTCTTTTCAAAGTTAGTTATACCTCAGTAGCAGGTGTTATACATACATGCATATATATATATATATATATATATATATATATATATATATATATATATCAAGTGTAAATGGATATAAATCCGACAGAATGAAAGAAATTTTGAAAAAACAAACAAAAATCCTTAAATGTACATCCTACATTTAGGATTTTTTATTTTTTTCAAAATTTCTTCATATATATATATATATATATATATATATATATATATATATATATATATGGGCACCAGTGAAGATCGAACTCACTATATATATATATATATATATATATATGTGTGTGTGTGTGTGTATATATATATATATATATATATATATATATATATATATATATATATATATATATATATATATATATATATATATAAAGACAAGAGGAAACGTAACTTTCTATATGTCTTTTTTACAGACATTAATTCTGGAATTTTACTCACACACACACACTCATAAACATATGTGTGTGTGTGTGTGTGAGTGTGATATATATATATATATATATATATATATATATATATATATATATATATATATATAAGTATCTCCACTATTTCGGCATAAATTTTCTATATTTAAGTTTAAAATGAATTTTTTACAAAGAAAAAACATTCTTGAAGATTTTATTTAGCTTTTAAAAAAAGTTTAATCATTAAATTTATGATTTCCATTAATTAAACAATTCTGGTGTATTTCAGATAGAAACTATATACATTTGATTGTCAAATTTAAATTCAAATTTTTAATTTTCTTAAAATCGATTTAATTTTAAGAAATTTGTAAACAAACATAAATTTATCGATTTTGAAAATATTTAAGAAAATTTCTCACACATTATTTTAGTAAAATTAAAAAAATTAAAGTTAAAGTAATGTGATTTGAAAGAAATTTTCTTACTTATAGCATAAAAAATAATATACAACCAATTATTAACGAGCGGTCCTGTTCATCTGATCGAACTATTGATGATGGTTGATTGACGAACCGATCACAGTTACTACTGATGACCATAAATGATATAATTTTTAAGTCTGAGTTTTTAAAAAAATTATTCTATTTGAGTATGACACACTAATGGAAATACAATACATAAAATAAAATTATTTAGTGAAATAGTAAATGAAAAAAAGAAAAAATAATTTAAAATTTAAAGTTTACACTTTTAAAGCTGAACGGAAAAAACAACCTGTAAGAAACGAAATGTTATGAAAAGGCGACGTAAAGGGACAAAACCCTTAGATCACGTGACCTTGTTATAATAATGGCAATTCCCGTATATCATACATGGAAATAAGGAATGTATTAAGTAAAAAAATACAACATAAAAAATTATTTTTTAAAAAAGTAGCGCAACTAAATTTATTAAACTTAGCAATTTTGGGCTCGTAATTTTTTTTTTTTTTTAATTACTACATCACCTCGAGGAACCCTCCTAATACAGAGCTTTACACGATTTTAAACTATTATAAATTATTATAATTAAAATTTCTTAAAAAACGAAAAATTCTTGTAAAAATTAATTATTCATCAGAAAAAAATTATTTCTTCAGACAATAATGTCCTTAATATTACTTATTGACAAAAGCAATTAAAAGCTTTTCTAATTAAGTAATATCATAGTTTTATTGGATTCATTATTTTTCAATTCAGAGCAGATTTTCAGTTAAATAGCTCAAATTTGAAAAAAAAAGTAGGTTATTTACCATCTTCGAAGACTCCTACTTTTAACAAAAAAAAAATTCAGTAACCAAAAAGGTTTGGGGCGAAATTTCATTAAATTAAGTAAATGTGGGGCAACATATTTTAAAAAAATATATTTTTTACCAAAATTTTCTAAAAAAAAATATTTCAAAAATAAATTTAAT